AAAAAACAGCTTTCTCAGAGGCATTTTGAACTCTCTGCTGAACCTCTCTGGTGTCTAGAGGATGAGACGTAGTGGTATATTTCAAGAAAAGGACAGATATGTTTCCCCAAAGCTTTTTTTCAGCCAAGTTCTCTGAGGCTTTAGGTTCTGTGATAACAGGCACCTTGAAAATGCCATCAATTTAATGAGGCAGAATTCATACGTATCATACATGAAGAGTGAATCTAAAGGAATGATTTCCCTGTCCGCAAGAAGAGGTTGTAATTGGGAAGGAAATAAAAAGGAAAACTAAGAGCCAAAAAACGTAACCAAGTGTAATTCATTATGTATTTGACTGTTAATAATTGTTGAAGGTCTTTGTCTATCTATCTCCTAATCTTTTAAAACTATTTCCCACAGGTGTTTCTCACTGGGTGGATAAGACTGCTGAGGATATCAAAGAGGAAAGAGCAATAAAGGAAATATGCTATAAATCTGGTAAGTACGAAAGGAGTTGTCACGCTTTTCTGAGCAGCCATGCTGCACACACAGTAAACTTAGGGGTATTTTTCCCTCTTGATAATGTTCAGGTGAGTTTTACGGGATTCAGCAGCCTGACCAACAGCAGTCACCTAACCCTGTGTCACCGTCTCAGGAAAATGAGCTACGGCTCTTTTGATTTTTCTTCACAATCTAAATTTATGTAGTGTAGTTTGAAGCATCCTAAGATTCTTTTCACTGTATAGTATTGACTGACCAATTTTGCAGTCCTAAATTATTCCACAGAATTTGGCAGATTCTTGGTTTTCTCCTTTCTACATTTAAAATGCATCTTGTTAGAATAGTTTCGATGATTTTTTTCTGGCACATGTTTATATATGTTTAGAGTACAGATGAGAGAAACAGTAAGAAATATCTGGGTTTAAGGCACATCCTTATTTTTCATAAGATACATTCTGAGGAAAGCATAGACAGATTTACCCAAAGCATTTCTTTAATTGAGTTCTCCGAGGCATTAAGTTCTGTGATGACAGGCAGCTTGAAAATACCATCAATTTGGTCAGGTAGGATTCATAACTACCATTCATGGGAAGTGGGAAGCTGAAGAACAAGCAGGTCACTTGGAGCTGGTTCTTTCCTTTGGAGCCAGTGCCTTCTTTACTCTGTGTACAACGGTATTTTCTTGGAGGGCATGAGTGTTATAGCTCAGGTAGTGGAGTTACTCCAGGCAGGATCCAAAGAACAGCCGAAAGAGAGAGAAGAATATAAAAAGGGAGTTGGAAGGCAACTGCACTGAACTCATGACAAGCTCCCAGAGGTGGGAGGAAGCGAATGGCAGTGCCCTTCCCAGTGCTTAAACATCAGCAGCTGAAACATTGTTTCTGGTGCTTTCACAGGTGAAAGCAATACAATTCCTGCAGAATTGAGCAACACAAGTAGAGGAGGAGGAGGGAGTACGGGAAGGAGAGTACCAAAAGCGAGTATTTCCAGAACTGGTTGCAGATCCTTTGAAAATGGAGGTAAGATACTTGAGCGTGGAGTCCTTACAGCTAAACATTACCTCATGAATGACATAACTGTCTATATTTGGATTGGGCTATCCACAATGAATACTTTCTTAATCTTGTCTTCCAGCCTTCAGTCTCCTGCAGTATGTCAAATTTTCAGTAATAGCACAACAGTATGGTTTGTTTTTTCACTTTTAGAAAGCCACACTGCAGAACCTAATGCACAACCCAGTTACCAACCAAAGGGTCACTGTAAGGATGGTGAAAACGATTCTCTTCCTAATGTGAGAGAACCTGGAAGAAAGCCTCATTCCCATTCTTCAGAGCCACGAAGATCAGCGTATGTAGTCTACCGAACTGTCACAGTCACCCAAGAACCCAAGTTTAGCCGACCTAGAGGTGGGTTCCTGCTTAAATGGAAGATTCTTAAAATGCCTCTAATATACCTGCCTGTATTGTGCTGTGGTCGATTGTGTCCCTGCAGGTAGAATACGTGATTTATGCCTGAAGACAGGTAAGAGCAAATTTGATGTAGCGTAACTTTCATACCTAGATTGCAGCAGTACTCACAGACAGAAATGCAATGCTTTATAAAGCTCTGCAATTAGTCAGACAGAATATTCATCAACAGTAATTAACCACCTTCAAAGCAGGAATTCTTTTCTCTGCCCAACAGAGAGGGACGACTGCAATGATGTGCTGATATGTATGAATATACCAATCCACATTCATTAATGTGTTTTTCATTCTTTTGAAATATGTATTAAAGCTTGGAATAGTACCTTTAACTTCTCAATTAAGTATGGTGGATTTACAATTATGTTATTCAGGATTTTTTTTTCATCTTGAATAAAAAAGGATTAGATCTTACTCAAACTGCTCTTCATTCAAATGCAGTGTAAATTTTTATGATTATTGTATTTTCACTTTTTTTTTCTGTTGGACGGAGCACAATTTCATTCTTCCTGCATTCATACAGGATGATATTTTCCTTTGTCTTTGTCCTCTTGATAATATGTACTATTCTCACATTTGACAGGAGCCTACAGGTGGGATACTGAGACTTCTTTTGTTCTTCTTGGATATCTGGTTTGGATGTAACCATAACTGTATGACCTTTGCTTTATTTTTAACTTGCTAATAGAACCTCAAAAATCTAATACATCATTTGGGGTTTATATGACTTTCTCCTTTTCCTGACCGTATCTGGACTTGTGAAAATCATTCAACACTGTCCCACGCGACATCCTTGTCTCTAAACTGGAGAGACATACATTTAATGGATGGACCACCCGGTGGATAAAGAATTGGCTGGATGGCTGCACACAGAGAGTTGTGGTCAAGGGCTCAACATGCAACTGGAGACCAGTAATAAGTGGTGTCCCTCAGGGGTTGGTGTTAGGACTGATCCCTGTTCAACATCTTTGTCGGCGACATGGACAGTGTCCATGTTTGCCAACGACGCTAAGTTATGTGGTTTGGTTGATAAGCTGGAGGGAAGGGGTGCCATCCAGGGGGAGTTGTGGGCCAATGCCAACCTCATGAAGTTCAACATAGCAAAGTGCAAGGTTGCTGGGTCAGGGCAATCCCAGGCACAGCTACAGGTTGGGCAGTGAAGTGATTCAGAGCAGCCCTGCGGAGAAGGACTTTGGGGTATTAGCTGAAAATGAGCCAGAAGTGTGCGCTCGCAGTCCAGAAAGCCAACTGTATCCTGGGCTGCATCAAAAGGACCGTGACCAGCAGGTCAAAGGAGGAGATCCTGCCCCTCTACTCTGCTCTTGTGAGACCCCACTCGGAGTATTGTGTGCAGTTCTGGTGTTCTCAACATAAAAAGGACATGGGATTTTTGGAACAAGTCCAGAGGAGGGCCACAGCGATGACAAGGAGCCTTGAGCCATATGAAGACAGGCTGAAAAAAAAACTGCAGCTGTTCAGCCTGGAGAAGAGTCGGCTTCATAAAGACCTCATAGCAGCCTTCCAGTATATGAAGGGGGCTGTGGTGGTTTAAGCCCAGCCAGTTCTAAGTTGCTGGCTGGGCTTAAACCACAACTGGGGCCTACAAAGATACCAGAGAGGGACTTTTCATCAGGGATGGTAGCAATAGGACAATGTTTTTAAACTTAAAATGTTAAGGTTAGATTTAAGGAACTAGTTCTTTACTATGAGGGTCATGAGGCACTGGAACAGGTTGCCTAATTAGTGGTAAATGCTCCATTCCTGGCAGAGTTCAAGGCCAGGCTGGACAGAGCCTTGGGTGACATGGTCTAGTGTGAGGAGACCCTACCTGCGGCAGAGGGGTTGGAACTAGATGACCTTTGAGGTCCTTTCTAACTCTAACCATTCTGTGATTATATGATTCTATGTTTATATGATTTTTGTTATACCAACAATTACCATTTTTGCTACTGTTTTTTGGGTTTTTTTCAGCAGTTCCCGAGCCATCTGTTCGGAAATGCTCCAAAGGAAAGAATGAGCCTGCCAAAAATAGGAAATTTTGGACACAAACGGACATCTACGGTAATACTGCAGCGTTGGGTGTAAACTGAAAATTTCAGTTTTAGTACGGAATTAATAATGTGAATTAATGCGATTAGTCTGGAACTAAGAGAAAACAAGGGTACTTACACATAACGTTGCCTTGCATCTAAGTACATTCACAAGCAGGGATAAAACAGGAGGACCGGATTATGCATTAGTTTCCTCTAAAAGCAGCTGATGCCTTCTGGAAGATTTTCAGTATAGGAACATGCACTTGGTTAAAGTCCAGAATGACCGTGGCAGAGTTGCCTCGCTTGGGAGGTCCTGTGAGCCTTATGGAAAGCCTGAAAGATTACAAAAAAAATCTTTGAAGAGAGAACTAGAGAGAGAGAGAATCTGTACTTAATCCTAGCTTCTGTTTCAGAGGTGCTGCAGGACTCACCCGATGCACTCATGGGTACTTCAGCTAAAGTAATATTTGTAATAATGTAATATCTGATTCACCTGTCAGGCTAAGAGAGTCTTCCCAGAAAGTACATCTCAAGTGAGGAAACCATGTCTATGCTCTTCCTACAGACAAATACACTTCAGGATCCTATAATGCACCAACCTGGGGGAAAAGAAATCCACAGGCAAAAACATTCTCCAAGACTAAAACAACCATTCAGGTAACTGCTTGATAGAGATTTTGACCGCCTGGTCTCTCCCCACCTAGAAACCAAAATTCCAAAGTAACAACTTCCCCAACCAAATCCCAAAAGGTCCTACGCAATGCTGAGCAGTCTGGAAGAGCAGTTAAGAGTTGTGTTGATGTGCAGACCTGAAATTTGGCCTGTAGAACTAAGTGATTCCTAATTTTGTATAGTTTTACTGAAAGAGTGTATAATTTTACTGTATGAAATAATGCACAAAACCGTGTTCTGCGTATCTATTTTAACAACAGAGCCAAGAACACATGGAAGCGACCCAAAAAGGAAACCGATATGAAGACAGAAGGGAGATGAAACGAGTACTTGAATTCACAAGAACAGTCTAAACTGAAATAAGGGAATTCTCAACTGTAGTTCAAACGATCATAAAATTGTAAATTTCAAAAGTAAGATGTAGGGTACTCTCTGTAGTGTTTCAATACATTAGAAATTGTGGAAATTGTTTAACAATAATTTCACTATAATCCTAAATGTACGATACATTTACCTAATAAAAGTGAAGACGTATCATATTTTATTTTCATTATTTCCCTTGCTTGTATCAAGACTGTAATCACTTAATATAAATTACACTGAACTTTGACCACATTGAATTGACAAGCACAGTATTACACCTTCTTCAGCCTCATCCTTCAGCCTCAAAGCTCTTTGCAGAGAACTTGGCACCTCAAACCAACAAAACTTCTTCCTCTGTTATGCTATTAAAAGCAGGCCAGTGCAATGCGAGATGGCAAAGGCATCCTGGTGTTAAATACTTCCTATCTTAAAAACCAGGTCTGTCACCATTAATCTTAAAATGCAGCATCCATGAAGATTTCATGAAAAGGGAAATTTTCAGAGGACAGAGAAAACGGATTGATTTTCCAGAAACCTCCCTGCTTCTACCCTAGCAGTCACAGCCCTCTCTGGTATCCTTGCCTGTACTTTGTAAAGAAAACCCAGCATGTGCCAGTTTGAGATCTAATCCCCATCAGGTTCTTCTGTATAAAGAAACAACAACTGAGGAAGTACCACAGTTTAACCCCAGCCGGCAACTAAGCCCCACACAGCAGTTTGCTAACTCACTCATTCCCTCCTCCCTGGTGACTTGTAAGAAAGAAGCAGAAGGGCAACAGTGAGAAGACTCCTGTGTTCACATAAAAACAATTCAAAGGGGAATGCAAAGCTGCACACACAAGCAAAGCAAGGACATCACTCACCACTTCCCAGCAGCAGGCAGGTGTTCAGACATCTGCGGTGCTGGCTTCCCATGGGGTCACAACCTCCTTTGGGTATCCCCTGCTCCAGAGCGGGGTCCTTCATGGGCTGCAGGGGGACAGCCTGCCTCACCATGGTCTTCACCACAGTCTTCACATGGACTGCAAGGGAATCTCTGCTCCAGCAACTACTTCTTCACGGCAATTGGGGTCTGCAGATTTGCTGCACTCACAGATTCTCACCCCTCTCTTCAGGTGCATCACTGCAGGTTTTTGGTTGTTTTTTTTTCTCCTTTCTTAAACATGTTATCCCAGAGGCCCTGCCACTGTTGCTGGTATCTCCAAGTCACTGATGTCACTCACTGCTGAGGAATTGAGCCTATGTCAAATCTACAGCTTCATCTACCCCTCTAAATATTTGTTGTGGTTTAAGCCCAGCCGTAAATCAGACCATGCAGTCTCTGTCTCACTTCCCCCCTTCTCCCCTGACCCTGCTCCAGAAGGGACGGGGAGGAGAATCAAAAGAATGTAACTCCCACGGGCTGAGATAGGAGCAGTCCAGTAACTAAGGTATAACACAAACCACTACTGCTACCACCAATAATAATAATAATGACAAGGGAAATAACAAAGGAACAGAACACAACTGCCCACCACCCGCCGACCGATACCCAGCCCGACCCGAGCAGTGATCTAGACCTTCCGGGTAACTGCCCCCAGTTTTACAAACTGGGCATGACGTGCTGTGGTATGGAATACCTCTTTGGCTAGCTTGGGTCAGGTGTTCTGTCTCTGCTTCCTCCCAGCTTCCCTCCTCCCTGGCAGAGCATGAGACTCAGAAAGCCCTTGGTCAGACTAAACACTACTTAGCAAGAACTAAAAGCACTGGTGTTATCAGCGCTGCTCCCAGGCCGAAAGTCAAAACCACAGCACTGCACCAGCTACTAAGAAGGAGAAAAATGACTGCTACTGCTGAACACAGGACTATATATTTTGTTCAGAGGCAGCCTGGGGCCTGAATGGGATCAGAGCTGCTTGTTAGGGACATAAGCATCCACTGCTCTTTCTGCTGTAGCAGTAGACATCATGGAAGCAAGAAAAAACAATGAACCCCAGCAGTGTAAGCAGTTAACACACAGCACCTAAGAGCAGGAATCAGGTAATTTCTCAATTCACTAAAAGGAGTGAAGTAAGAAACGTGGAGCACAAGGACTTGCGTTAAAAGACGCTCAAAGAATAATGTTCATCTTTGTGCTCTCAAGACAACAGGTTCTACACAGGAAGAAGTTGGGTCTTATTTAAGCACCACAAGATGGGTTTGTTCCATTTTACATTAAAGAAACATGGGACGGGAGAATGGAAGACTCTTTGAGATCGTGTGATTTTCAATACTTTGATGAAACGAGATAAAGAAAGATGTTCAAGCTGGACAGGCCACACGGAACCATTATGATGATGTCAACAGCTAGACAAGCCATTGGCAGCCATGGCAATGGAACATTCTATACTGCCTAGCAACTGGTAGAGAATGTGAACTCAAAAAGACTAAAGAAGCTACCATCTCCTTCGCACAAGTGAGAGTAGGGAAGCACAAGACGTGCAAATGGCCACAGGTGGAAATGACTGCAATATCTATATGACAATGGTTTTGAAATTAGACCAGATAGTCTCAACCTGGATTTGATTATCACAGGTCCCTCTTCACAAAATAAACCTAATGCTCTTTTCTGCAGATGCGCCATTGCCACAGGCTGACCAAGAAGTGATTCTGCCTCCAGCCCAGTGTCAAGGCTCACACACACGTCCAGAGAATACTGTAATACCAATTCACCCTCCACTGATTATAAACCTCAACGATGAAGAGGATGATGAAGAGGATGATGAAGAGGATGATGAAGAGAACTGTAAGCAAGTTTTTTCTATCCTTTACAAGCAAGTAGAAGGTATTTTGTAAAACATTATAGTGTACTTCTCACTCAACTGATTCATTAGAATAAGCACTATTTGCATAAAAGAGTGGTTGACAAGTTGCTAAAAGAGTTTCCAGCAAATCTCCAAATTATCAGACCTGACAGTCACCAGCTGCGAGTGAGGCACCATTTTCTAACTCCTGTGAAATGCCCAGCTGTATGTTTCAACAGTGGTATAACTCACATTCCTCTTTCTCATTAACTAGACTTTAAAGGGTGATCCCCAATTCAGATAATATGATCCACAATTCAGATGGCCATCGAATACTCTTCACAAGTCCTCATAATTCAGGGATGACGTTACAGGCTTAGGAGGTACTTCTTTTCCTGGAAACCAGCTTTCGAACACGGGCTGTACTCACTCATCAGTGAAGCTGATGGAAGTCACAGCTTTGTTTACAAAAGACAATTGTGTGAATTCAACTTATATAATCTGTTGTACCGATTTTCTCAACTCCGTAAGCAGTCTCATCACAGAACATTATTCTGAAATCTAGCAGACAAAATGCATACCAAGCTCTTTCCTAGTTTACCTGAATGTGTATGTTTATATACTTAGGTCCTTATGTTTTAAAAGTTTTTAAGTGTGGTTGAACCATTCAGTGAATTTCATTTAGAGATGGGAGATCCATAGGGAAGAGATGAACTGCACATTCCCGGTGAGTGAAAGCAGAGAACAACCTGCTCTAAGGCGCACACTGCACAAATTAAAATACTAATAATTTTAAGTCAACACATGTTATCTTCTTACAAGGCTTGTAACTGCAATTCCCTTGCCCTTGGAAGTACCTAATGTGAAGGAATGATTTCCCTGTCCGGAAGCAGAGGTTGTAATTGGGATGGAAATAAAAAGGAAAACTAAACGCCAAAAAGCGTAACCAAGTGAAATTCATTATGTATTTGACTGTTAAGAATTGTTGAAGGTCTTTGTCTAGCTATCCCCTGATCTTTTAAAAATATTTCCCACAGATGTTACTGACTGTGTGCCTAAGACTGCTGAGGATATCGAAGAGGAAAGAGCAATAAAGGAAATATGCTATAAATCTGGTAAGTACGAAAGGAGTTGTCACGCTTTTCTGAGCAGCCATGCTGCACACACAGTAATCTTTGGGATATTTTTCCCTCTTGATAATGTTCAGGAGAGTTTTATGGGATTCAGCAGCCTGACCAACGGCAGTCACCTAACCCTGTGTCACCCTCCCAGGAAACTGAGCTACGGCCCTCGGAAGCTACCCAGTGGGACTTGCAGAAAGCCAAGTACTTTTCATCGCCTTGGACAATGGGTACCACTTTTGAAATTACTCTTACAAGGAGAAACTAGGACACAGTTTGCCCCTCCTCTCCACTTTTTGAACTCAGGGACAGTCCTAAGGCGTTTGCAAATATCATAAAAATACTTAAGTTTTTCTTCTTATTTGTGTGCATGGGTATCACACAGGTGGTGGCTACCTGCATCAATTGTCACTGGAAAAGATGAAAATGGGCTCAATATTAACGCCAGGAGTACTTTCCTCGGGTACAAAACATCAGTTTTAGTCTGGAACTAAGAGAAAACAAGGGTACTTAAACATAACATTGCCTTGCACCTAAGTGCGTTCACAAGCAGGGATAAAACAGGAGGACAGAATTATGGATTAGTTTCTTCTAAAAGCAGTTGATGCCTTTGGGAAAATTTTCATGACAGGAACATGCACTTAGTTAAAGTCCAGGACAACCATGGCAGAATCGCATGAGTCACCTGATGCATTTGTGGATGCTTCAGCTAACGCAGTATTTGTAATAATGTAATATCTGATTCACCTGTCAGGCTAAGAGAGTCTTCCCAGAAAGTACATCTCAAGTGAGGAAACCATGTCTATGCTCTTCCTACAGACAAATACACTTCAGGATCCTATAATGCACCAACTCCAAGGAAGAGAAATCCACAGGCACAAACATTCTCCAAGACTAAAACAACCATTCAGGTAACTGCTTGATAGAGATTTTGACCGCCTGGTCTCTCCCCACCTAGAAACCAGAATTTCATAGTAACAACTCCCCCAACCAAATCCCAAAAAGATCCTATGCAATGCTGAGCAGTCTGAAAGAACAGTTAGGAGTTGTATGGATTTGCAGACAATAATTCCTAATTTTGTACAGTGTTACTGATCTGAAGGCAAAAGTTGTACTTGCCTTTACAATGAGGAGCTACAGGAGGGGGTTTGGCTTGTAGCACTAGACAAAGCTCAGCAGAGACACTGCATGAGCGTGGTCTATTTGTCTCTCTTTGTCTGCTTATGTAGCATCTCCAAAAGCCAAACACTCATCAGCCACGGTCCTAATTCATGAAAGGAATCACTCTAGTAAACATTCACAGAATGCCCTGAGGGCCTAAAATTAATAGATTTTACAGCTGAGCAGAAAGCAGAGATGACAACTTGACCTTGCCTCTTGTGTCGACGGTTTACTGCTTAAACTGCTTCTGAAAGAGCGTATAGTTTTGCCATAGGAAATTATGCACAAGGTGTTCTGTGTTTGTATTTTGACAACAGCACCGAAAAGACATGGAAGTGAACCACAAACGAGAAGGGTATGAAGACAGGAGGGAGATGAAGAAAGTACCTGAATTCACAAGAACAACCTAAATTGCAGAAAGATAGGGGAATTCTCAAGAGGAGAAACCAAACACGATAAGAATGCAAATTCCAAAAATAACACGTAGGAAGTACACTGTAACACTTCAAAAGTGATTAAATTTTAATCCTTCATCATGGCTATGCTACTGCCTTGTTCTCATGCAGATTCTTATTCCTGACAACTGGACTCTATCAGCCCAGCCCTATCCATCCTATTCCTGATTTCTAATCCTATCTACGTACTCCAGTGTTTCCCGAAGACGTGCCAGCTTGGAAATTGCTCTAAGACAAAAGAAGAAAGACAATCTCCTTGCGAACTCTTTCTGCATTTCCCATTATTGGTTAGAGATAATTTTGCCTTTGTATGCAGTTCAAGTAGTGCATATACACTAGAAGGGTTTCCAGTCTAGCACTGCAATATTTAGAGACGTGCCTTCCTTTATGACAATGGGCAACGGAAATTCAACCCAGTGAGCTGCTCTGAGCCCTCAGTTTGGAGCTGAAAGGCAATAGCACCATTTTATTCCAAGCAATACCCAGGCCAGTCCAGTGAACTATGGCAAAAGCATCCTGCTGTTAAATACTTTCTGTTTTAGGAACTGCGTTTGTAGCCATAAGCATAAAATACAGAATCTTTGAACATGCATGGGCCAGTTTGAGATCTAATCCCGTGTCAGATTCTTCTTGATGAAGGAACACCAACTGAGGAATTGCCCCAGCAGGCAACTAAGCCCCACACAGCAGTTTGCTCGCTCGCTCGCTCACTCACTCACTCCCCGCCCCATTGACGTGTGGGAGAAAATCAGGACAACTGAGAGAAAACTCCTCGGTTCACATGAAAACAGTTTAATAGGTAAAGTAAAAGCCACACACACAAGCAAAGCAAAGCAAAACAAGGACCTCACTCACCACTTCCCATCAGCAGGCAGGTGTTCAGACATCTCCAGAGAAAGTAGTCATCACCACGCCAAACGTTTCCCCCCCCTTACTTCTTGTTTTCCCAGTCTGTCCGTAGACTGCCTTTTCCAGATCGGGAAGTCAGAATACTGGTTGGGTCCCTTGAAAGTTTCCCAGTACCATTATCCTGGAGTGACCCCGTTCCTTGCCCTGACCGTTCCCGACACTTAGAAAAAGCAAACGCAACACCTGCGTGAGGACCCGGATGCGCCACCATCCCTTTCGCCAGAGACCTGCAGCCGAACTCCTCGCCACCTCCGTCTCGAACAAACACGGCACCTTCCGCTGCACCGCACCCCCACACCTCACAACCCCCGTTGCCAGCCCTGCGCCGAGCACACACTGCGACTGCGCCTGCGCCGAGCACACACACACTGCGACTGCGCCTGCGCCGAGCACACACACACTGCGACTGCGCCTGCGCCGAGCACGCACACTGCGACTGCGCCTGCGCCGAGCACACACACACACTGCGACTGCGCCTGCGCCGCCCCCGCGGGGCGCCACGGGAAGTGGAGCCCGTTACTGCTTCCCCCGCCAAGCTCTGCGGCACGGCCGTGGGCGCGGTGGGTGAGCTGGGCTGCCCGTGTCCAGCAGCCCGCAGCCTCGGGTCGGTTCCGCCGCCCCGCCCCGCCCCGCCCGGCCCGGCTGCGGGCCTGGGGCAGCTCCGCTCTCCCCAGCGGCAGCTGCCGCCGGGCCAGGGCCGGCCCGGGAGCCACAGCTGTGCTCGGAGATGGGTCCCGGCGGCCGCGAGGCCGAGGCCGGGCTGAGGCCCCAAGCTGTGGGGACCTCTCCCTCAGGACAGCCGCCTGCTGTCCTTACCCAGGCTCTGCCTCGGCGTACAACCCTTGAGTCTCT